CTCGTCGGCAAAAACAAAGTCGTACTTGGTTATTTTCCGACGAACCCGGAACATCAAGCTGGAGATTATTGAAACGTAAGCAGGAAGTACCTCCCACTACCGCGACCTGCCCGCTCCCAAGTGAGAAGTACTACACTTTGGCCATCTGTGATCTGCCCTACATTGTTGCGCAAGACTGGAAGTATGCCTTCTTTCTTTTTGGAAGTCTAGGCTATGTCTTCAGTGATGGTTTTCCTCAGGGAAGCCCAGTTTCCGGATCAGTTGCCAACTTGTTCGCATGCGTGAAAGAACACCGCTTCATGTATAATCTGCCTCACTATCTCCGGCAGAATGCGTACTTGAACCTGTGTGCCACCAGATGGATGGACGATCGACTCCTGTTGTGGAGGTGCTCGCTTGCTCGAAATGTTCTTGATGCACTCCTCGATGACAGCTTCTACGCTGCTGCGTGCCGGCTGAAGCACACCCGCGACAATGCATATATCGGCCTACGAGTTCTTGTCATAGCAGGGAAGGTTTGCGCCATTCCATGGTACCCATTTTCGGGTGCACTGCTGACTTCAGCGGATGGACGCGCCCCAAGGCTCATTGCTCAGCAATCGTTCGGAAGTAGACGGACCCAAGCCAAAGGCCTCATGGGACACTTAGTTCGCATACTTGACTTTGCCAGCTGTCCCCTGCCTGCTCTTCGAAGCTGCCTCTTTCTACAGCTTGTCGAATTGTCGTCTGCTGGCTATGCTCTTCCTGTACTTTCTCGACTGGTTTGGCATGTGCACACACGAATGCCTTTTCTACATCTTCCGGAATGCCTACGCACTCGAGATCTCTGCTCGGACAGTTTTCTGCTGTTGTGCAGAGCCTATCTACAGAGCTGCATTCTACGAACTGACTCCGACCCAGACTTTCAGATTGACGTGGTTTGATGCTGAGCCGATTTTCTTTTCTCACCGATAATAATTTCCACTGAACCGTCTGTACAGTGCGAGACTCCGCTTTCTTGTTCTGCTTCGTAGCCGTTTGTTCGAAGTGTGTGGCGCAAGGACTTGTAGGATCGTGGCGATGGCAGCTCACCCCTTGGTGGCTCTCGGGCAATTGGCACAGGCCTTTGCACAACCACCCGGGAATCCCAAGCCAGGATCCTTTGCCAGCTCAGGACCGCGCATTTGTTTTCAGTATCGCGACACTGGTCGTTGCTCGAGGGGGGATGCCTGCAATTTCGTACACTCGAATGCCAACGGCACCAACCATGCAATGTCAACGACTACATTGACTGGAGCAGATGCTGCTGCTAGAGCAGGTGGCAAAAACTTACAGGACAAGGGGATCGCTCACGACTTCCATGGTTTCACGACTGGTTGCGTGCCTGACGGGTCTACTCACAAATTTGGCCAAATCACTGTCGTTGAGCACTCTGATGTGGTTGACAGGTTAGCCATGACCAAGAATGGCCAGCTTCTATACCGCATGCTTCCCGTACATGCTGACGCATTCGACTTGCTTGCCGAGCTCACCAAATACTTGGATGGTAATGCCACCTGTCACGGGAAACCTGTCACTCCATCTGCCCTCCACCAGGTGATGCGTGGTATCATTCGTCAGCTTCAGCTTGACGGTTGGAAGGCTCGCGATAACGTGGAGGAGGCCATTGCACAGACCCCCAACATGCCGCCGGAGATGGCCAAGCTGCAGGACAGCATCCGCGAGCTCACCAATGCGGTTCGCAATCAGGCAACACCTTTGAATGGTGCCAAGCGCTCTCCGCAACCTTCTCCCGGGGATGTCGCGAAGCAACTCCAAACAATGTCGGAGGCGGACAGGCTTGCAGCGCTCGCCGCGATTGGTGTGCCAACGACCTCTATGCCACCGGCATCCTTCACATCACCTCCGCGGAAAATCTTTGCTTCAGTACCCGGTGCATTCTCCAGTGGACCCAGCGCGCACAACCAAGTCTATGCAGGCCCATTGTTCGGTGACGACGATGATGAGGAACCCGATGCAGTCTTGGACCTCCCGATCGCGGATGCCTCGGCCGAACTCCTCCACTTAACACGGTCATCTACCGCAGAGCTGGGGTATGTGCGCGAGAAGGTCGCTTATGACGCTGCCCAACCATTGCAGATTGCAGAGCTGGACGGCATGGTTGGCCCATGGGATGCACGCATACCTGTGACAACCGATTTCCCGGGGCTGAAGGACATACTCAAGGAGCAGCCGCCGAACGTGATTGACATGACCAAGAGTCTTATCCCCAAAGTGTGCAAGCAAATCCATTTGGTAGCAAAGCCCGGTACGCGGATTGATCACCTGTACAATAGCTTCGGGTTCAAATTCCAATCGCGTGGCCAGCAGGAAGCTGGCATTGTGGGGCTAGCACTTTGCCTAAGCCGCAAAGCGTGCGGGCTTTCGTGTACTCCCGAAATCCCGAGCCCATGATGGATGAATTGCATACCCTTTCGTGCCACTGCACACTCGTGACGGTCGGAGTTTGTTTGCTCACTCGATTCGCATGGTGTGCTGCTTTACGGGTTGTGCCACAGCGCGCAGCTACAGTGCTTTAATTTATGTTGTCAGTTTTGCGTATGTCTCGCAAATCACGGTTCGAGTCACCTAGGGCAGCAGGTGGAAAGAAGATGCCCGTTGATGCGTTGTGTCAGATGGCACCGCGCGTAAGTATTACTATACTACTACTACTACTACTACTACTACTACTACTACTACTACTACTACTACTACTACTACTACTATATACTACTACTACTACTACTACTACTACTACTACTACTACTACTACTACTACTACTACTACTACTACTACTACTATACTATACTACTACTACTACTACTACTACTACTACTACTACTACTACTACTACTACTACTACTACTACTACTACTACTACTACTACTACTATATACTACTATTACTACTACTACTACGTACTACTACTACTACTACTACTACTACTACTACTACTACTACTACTACTACTACTACTACTACTGCTATACTACTTCTACCTTCGCATGCTACTGCGACTTTGTACTATATTCTGCTGCCATCAATCTCAGGAGCCAAATGCCGAGATGCAGCTGGCTGGCGAAGACGTCTTCCTGGGTGCCGATGATGTTCCTCGGCCCACGGAGGAGATGATCATTGGCCTGGAGGAGCAATCTTGTGTTGGCAGGGTTCTACTCCTACAATATTAGAAGTATATATTGACCACTACACCACTATACACCACTACCCAACCACACAACAAGACCACCACACCACCCCTCCACCAGACCAGTACACCAACACACCAACAAACGAACACGCAGACATATCAACTACTAGTACTACTATATACTACTACTACTACTACTACTACTACTACTACTAGTACTACTACTACTACTACTACTACTACTACTACTACTACTACTACTACTACTACTACTACTACTATATACTATAGTACTACTACTACTACTACTACTACTACTAGTACTACTACTACTACGACTACTATTACTTATACTACTGCTACTACTACGACTACGACTACTATACTACTACTACTACTACTACTACTACTACTACTACTGCTACTGCTGCTACTGCTACTACTACTATACTATGTACTACTAATTTACTAATACTGTGGTTCTGCATCTATTGCTACTATATATACATGTGGTTCTGCATCTATATACTGCTACTATATAAAACCCTTTATAAAATATAATCTGTATATGTATAGTATATATATATGTATATGTATATATATATATATATATATATATATATATATATATATATTTATATATATCAAAACAATTATACTATATACTATATATAAACTACATATGCATATATATATATATATATAAACTAGTAGTATACTACTATATACTATACTACACTACTACTATACAACTACTACTACTACTACTACGACTACTACTACTACTACTACTACTACTACTACTACTACTACTACTACTACTACTACTACTACTACTACTACTACTTAAATTCTACTTCTATTACTACTACTATATACTACTACTATACTACTACTATACTATACTACTACTACTACTACTACTACTACTACTACTACTACTACTACTACTACTACTACTACTACTACTACTACTACTACTACTACTACTATACTACTATACTACTACTACTACTACTACTACTACTACTACTACTACTACTACTACTACTACTACTACTACTACTACTACTACTACTACTACTACTACTACTACTACTACTACTACTACTATACTACTACTATACTACTACTATACTACTATATACTACTATATACTATATACTATATACTATATACTATTTACATACTACTATTATACTATACTCAGCATTCACTATATCTGTTATTTACTTTTGTGAAATCCCAGGCGACCACTTTATGTGTCTTGGCCCGCTGATCTGCTTCTCCAGGACGAAGATCGCGATATCGACGAGTGCAATAATCCATCTGGCCATATATCCTGAGCTTGGTGAGCTTGGCTGCATCTCATGTGGACCATGCACGGACACATAAAGTCAGGAAACCTGCTTCCGCTAACACCGAGGGGTCCGCATGTCATGCCAGTGTATCTAAAAGATGGCTGGTGGTTGCCGGCTCCAAAGATTCGTGACTGCCCGCTGAAAATCAAAACTTTCAGCATCGGGGACCGAGGCGTGTATCACCGTGTATCTGCGTGTAACTGTCTCTTAATAAGAGACGTAGGCGTGTATCAGCGTGTATCTCTTGATCCCTCGAGGTCTCAAGTTTTTCGTGCACGACTTGATCGTGCACGTGCACCTGTCTATCTAGATCGCACCGCTGTCTCTTACATGTGCTCCCAGTGAACCTTACTTGGGTCGCCAATGTCTCTTATTTCGCCCCTGAACGTCTCTTATTGAGCCCCCCAATGAACCTTATTGAAGAGTGTAAGTGTGCTTTTGCGCTTCAAACTCTGATCCTCGCTTGCAAGCCATGGGAAAGCCTGCTCTGGTCGATAGAAACAGATCGGCCGAAGATAAACAAGAGATGTATGATGGATGGTCAGAAGCCAACAAGTGGTGGCAGCCAGGATATTTTTTTGTAGTGCTTCTGTATACAAAACACACACACAAATCTTAGGTGTGGATACATTGTGTTAAAATAACCACTATATACAGGAATAAGTTAAGATATTGCTTAGTCCAAAAAAAGATTGTACATTGTATGCTCTGTATACATCTATTATTGCAACGAAGCATGCCTGTACCGCTTAATTAATCCTGTGGCACAGGAGGGAACACGAAGGGCCAGGTAAGGGGAGAAGGAAAAGAGAAAGGCCAGGAAAAGGGCAAAGGAAAAGACCAGGAAAGCACCGAGAAGGACCACAAGGGAAAGGGAAAAGCGAAAGGCCAGGAGAAAGGAAAGGAGAAGGGCCAGGAAAAGGGAAAAGGAAAGGTGAAAGGCCAGGAAAGTACAGAGAAGAGCCAGGAGAAGGGAAAAGGAAAGGTGAAAGGCCAGGACAAGGGCAAGGGGAAAGGCCAGGAAAGCACCGAGAAGGGCCAAGAAAAGGGGAAAGGACAGGAGAAAGGCCAGGAAAGCACCGAGAAGGGCCAAGAGAAGGGGAAAGGAAAGGAGAAAGGCCAAGACAAGGGCAAAGGGAAAGCACAGGAGAGCACCGAGAAGGGCCAAGAGAAGTGGAAAGGAAAGGAGAAAGGCCAAGACAAGGGCAAAGGGAAAGCCCAGGAGAGCGCCGAGAAGGGCCAAGAGAAGGGAAAAGGAAAGGAAAAGGGCCAGGAGAAGGGCAAAGGAAAAGCCCAGGAGAGCACCGAGAAGGGCCAGGAGAAGGGAAAAGGAAAAGAAAAGGGCCAGGAGAAGGGCAAAGGAAAAGCCCAGGAGAGCACCGAGAAGGGCCAGGAGAAGGGAAAAGGAAAGGAAAAAGGCCAGGAAAAGGGCAAAGGGAAAGCCCAGGAGAGCACCGAGAAGGGCCAGGAGAAGGGAAAAGGAAAGGAAAAGGGCCAGGAAAAGGGTAAAGAGAAAGGCCAGGAAAGCACCGAGAAGGGCCAGGAAAAGGGAAAAGGAAAGGTGAAAGGCTAGGAAAGCACCGAGAAGGGCCAAGAGAAGGGGAAAGGAAAGGAGAAAGGCCAAGACAAGGGCAAAGGGAAAGCCCAGGAGAGCACCGAGAAGGGCCAGGAGAAGGGAAAAGGAAAGGAAGAGGGCCAGGAGAAGGGCAAAGGAAAAGCCCAGGAGAGCACCGAGAAGGGCCAGGAGAAGGGAAAAGGAAAGGAAACAGGCCAGGAAAAGGGCAAAGGGAAAGCCCAGGAGAGCACCGAGAAGGGCCAGGAGAAGGGAAAAGGAAAGGTGAAAGGCCAGGAAAGCACCGAGAAGGGCCAAGAGAAGGGGAAAGGAAAGGAGAAAGGCCAAGACAAGGGCAAAGGAAAGGCCCAGGAGAGCCCCGAGAAGGGCCAGGAGAGGGAAAAGGAAAGGTGAAAGGCAAAGACAAGGGCAAAGGGAAAGGCCAGGAAAGCACCGAGAAGGGCCAGGAGAAGGGAAAAGGAAAGGAAAAGGGCCAGGAAAAGGGCAAAGAGAAAGGCTAGGAAAGCACCGAGAAGGGCCAGGAAAAGGGGAACGGAAAAGAGAAAGGCCAGGACAAGGGCAAGGGGAAAGGCCAGGAAAGCACTGAGAAGGGCCAAAAAGGGGGCAAAGGCACTAAGTTTGGCCTGGTCACTAGACAGGGCATGGAAGACCTGTTCGGTTCCAGAGACAACAATGATCAGTGGTGGGGTCCCCAGGAAGGTGGCCCGTCAAGACCCCTAGCCCTAGCTCAACTAGAATATAGCTCGTACCTTTTTTCCATGATGTATGTAAATTGTATATCTGTTGCATATGTACGTATGCACATGCATTGTTTGTGATGCATTGATCCGAGGCTCCTCCTGGGAAGGTCGTGCTGTTGCACCGGAAAAGAGAACCTGGGAAGATGCGAGGGTCGGAAGCCAGTCGAAAGGCCTGGAAACATATGTTGGGATTTCCGGGGGTTCGTCTGCTGCATCCAAACTTGTAAGGGAGCCCTCGATCCCTTCCCTAGCGATCCACAACCCCAGACCCCGAACCTTGAACCCTGCATTCATTGCTAGGCCTGCCAGATCAGTGGGAGGATCCCCAGTCAAAGAAGTCGCTTGGTTCGATCAATCGTTTGAAAACCACTATCTGTGCTGCAGAGACATACATGAACCTGCAGGCCACGCCGCAGCTTCACGCGGCAGTCCTGGGCCAGTGATGTTACGGAAGAGAGCCAGGACCAGGAGCCCGAACCTTCTTGGGCTGACCAGGAATCTCCCAAGAAAACGGGCTTCACGTTCCCAGGGAACCCGAATGATGTTTTTCGGCTTATACATTCTAGTGCCCTGCATATAAACCATATTAGAAACATAAATCCCCTGCATGGCATCTCTCGCTGAGGTTCGAAGGCTGACAGAGGAACAAAGGACTCAGATTGAAGTGGCTCACACTGCACTGGACCCGAACCTTCACAATTCTTAAAACTAGATTGGGCATTATGTCGTGAGGCTCTGGAGAAACCCGAGGACATCGACCTGGCCGAACGGAAACGCCTCAACGAGGGCCTTCGCCGGCGAATGAACAGTGCCAAAGGCCAGCCTGTGAGTTCCTACCCCCCTTCGTATACTGCAAGCTGTCTTATGCACCCTTATAAACCCTAAACCTAAAACCTTGAACCCTGGCAGGACTACGCAAGGGTCTGGTTGAACAATGGCAGGCGGCAGTGTCGCCAACGGAGAAGTCCCGAGGCAGCAGTGTATGTTATAAATGTACGAACCAACATCCCCGAACCCTGAACCTTAACAATCCACAACTGTGTGGCCTTCTCGATTCGTTGCAGCTGAGGTTTCAATTCTTGAAGGCATATCTTCTCGACCGGGACATGCCCTCCATCGAGATTCAGCCGTACTTCGAGGAGCCACTGGTCTGGTCCTATAGAATCTTAACCTCAAAGCTTTAACTTACAAACCCTATAAACCCTGCGACCCTAAACTCTCTCTCTCTCTCTCTCTCTCTCTCTCTCTCTCTCTCTCTCTCTCTCTCTCTCTCTCTCTCTCTCTCTCTCTCTCTCTCTCTCTCTCTCTCAAACCCTAAACCCTGAACCCCTTAACTCACAAAGCCTTCGACTACTTCAGCTCAGGCTCAGTGAGGCCAAAGACACAGAACACTTCGTCGAGCTCCCTCTCTGCGAGATTATCCAGAAATACAACCATTTACCTGGCGACCCTGAGTATATCAAGTCGATCCAACAAAGTGGAACCCTGAGATTATAAGTCACACTCTCTTTCTCTCTCTCTCTCTCTCTCTCTCTCTCTCTCTCTTTTCTTGTTCCTGCTCAAAGTAGTAACATACACCTCCTTTCTGACCCAGCTAAGGTCAGGTGGGAAAACCACACCCCCAGTTCTCAGATGACCTTTGGAAATTGTACAAGGTCTATAAGTGCACGGACCACCTGAGAATCCTGGCTGCATTTCCTTTGCATATCTCGGTAGCTGTGTGATGTTGTTGTCCTCCATGCAATCCAAGGTTCGAACATCTCCAGAGTGGGTTCCAAAACGCGGGCCAAGGTCCAGCCTTCGCAGAACCGACAGGAGCGGCAAGCTCTCGCAGACACGCTAGAGAAGAAGATCGCCGGGATGAAGACTGGCACGGCCGAGTCAAAGAAAGCAGGGAACAAAGCGAAGTCGAAGAAGGATCGAGATGTGTGTGCGATTGCAACAAAAGAGTCTAGCTAAGCCTAAGCCCGAAACCCTAGACCCTAAACCCTAAGCCCTGAACACTCCTACTTCCCCAGGAACTGACAGCCGACGAGAAACTGAAGAAGGATTTCCAAAAGGATCACCTGGGGCATCTTGCCTGAATCTATTTGTAGTAGAAACATTTAATGGGCTATAGGTTAATCGTTTGCAGCCGAGGATTCGTAATATGGCCGACAAAGCTGTGCACATCGCATCGGAGATCAGCTCCTGTGGGCTTCTCCACCAAGAGGCACACCCTAAACCCGAAACCCAAAACATTAAAAAACCTTAAGCCTGAACCCTGAACCCTTAACCCTGAACCCTGAACCCTGCACAGAAAATGGTGGAAAGCTTGGGGAAAGTCAACACGACGTGCACCAAGATCTACAATGAGTGGCTCGGCATGCATGCAGTTGCAACATGTCACGTTCCAAAACCACAAGCCTTATAAATCCTCATCGATGCTGAACCTATTTGTAAACCCTGAACCCGACCCAAGCTACATCCCAGGATTCAGCAGATGGTGTTCTCGTGCAAGCCGGTGAACGAATGCTATGAAATACTCGATGGATACAAAGTGGAGCTGGAGGCTGCCTCGATCTCTCCATCTGAAATTCAGCACTAGAAACACCCGAAGTACCAGCCTTATAAATTTCGTCCAGGAATGCCAGAAGAAGATCACCAACGGCGAGGACATTGTGGATTCGCACAAGAGACGCACCTCGGCTTGATGCCTTGAAAACTGAATTTCTGAACCCTAAACCCTAAAACTCTAAACCCCAAAACCCTAAACCCTACCCCTGAAACCTCAACCTTAACCTGACCTCGCAGGCCTGGCTACGGAAAAGAGAAAAAGGGAAAAAGAAGAGAAGAAAGAAAAGCAAAAGCATGATGATGACGACAGGGATGATGGATATGATGATGCATATGAAAGAAATGAAAGTGCCGCCGACGCCGCCGCAGAGGAAGAATGGCCGGAGGAGGATCCTGAACCGCCTGCAAAACGCAGGTAAATGAGTGGCTGGATGCAAGCATAGGGGCCAGGGGAGCAGCAGTGTTGGAGTGCATGTGTATTGTATATACACTTTTGTACACGCAGGCTGCTTTCAAACTTCACGCATGCTTTCTGGGCAAAGCACTCGACGCTGGTTGCACGTGGTCATGCCAAGGGCATGGCAACTGTGTTTTGCTTCTGCAGAACTTTCTTCTGAACTGATGAGAAAACATGCATTCCTGAACAAGTTGCCTTCGAGTTCGATTCATCACGCCGCATACCAGAATCGCAACGATGATTGAATGCCGTTCCTCAGCTTGATCAGCTGGTCTGTGGTGCCTATACTTCATCCATACCCAGTGGCTTCGGAGCCCTAAATTTAGATTCTAAAAATATGTGTCAAAAGAATCAAAAGGTACAGGGTTTAGGGTTTAGGGGTTCGTAAGGTGTCGGTGTATACAACCCAATAACTGGTGCCGTAGACTTTATGTCGACAGGAACCCTAGAACACAAACTGTCAGAGGTTATCGGGCTTATAGGGTTTAGGTTTCTAGGGTTTAGGGGTCCAAGCTTCAAGGCAAACCTCAGGCACAACCGCAGTTGTTGCTTCCACATGGCCTGTTCCATAAACCTTTGATGTGAAGCCTTCGCCGCGATCATGATTCGATGCTGGCCGGATGATATGTTGTTCATACATGTCCGAGACTAGACCTTTGCTTGATTACATGTTTAGTTTTTTGTAGTGTTCTTCGGTAGTAACAATCGTAAACCCTTCAAACCACCAAACCATGTCAGTGCTTATCAGTGCTCCAGAGAACAGCCAAGGATCGAGACCTCGCGATCATATGATATGTCGCCGAGCCCCTCTCACGAAGCATTCGAATCTTGTGTTTTCTTGGTTAGTGAAGTGCATCCGAGAACAGCCCAGGAGAGAAGGATTCAAGATGTCAACCTCGGAGTCGATCGGCTCCGATGCTATTCACCGCTATGTCCAAGAGACAACTCAACAGAATTTGAGGCTTCTATCTCAGGGACAGGCCAGGTTGCCAACTGAATTGAGGGTGCAATTGTTTAGACCACGATGGAAACCAACTAACCCTGAAGGTGCCTTTGTCAGAGCTGGCCGTCTCTCTGGAGCGACTCTACAATCTACCTCATGCTCTGTTGAGGTGTCAGTGCTGCATTGCAAACGGGGGGATGTGATTCGATCCATATAGCATTGATTCATCTATCCCGGAGGAAAGACTTGTTGGACCTGGCTACTGCATTAAATTCACAGACATCTGGCGGCTCATGGGGCCGTATGAGATTGCTCGAGAGGTGGGTGGACCGACAACCATGGCGACATGCACTTCCACCATCCTTCAGGTTTCCAAACTGCAGCCTTATCAGAGAATTTGTCGGTCTGTTGAATCCTGTGAGGCTGGTTTGGAATATTGCAACCCAACAGAAATGTAGTTTCCATCCGAGGTTCGAGCTCACCGCAGTGTACGATGATGCGCACGGCCCTCGAACGAGGGCTGTGAATCATCATATGATGCTGCCGCATGAAATTGTTGGATTCCTGCACGCATCGGGGAACTCACACCAGCTGTAAGAATCTTTGGAACAAGCTGCTTGGTTCTGGCATGTTACTCGTGTTGCCTTTAAAATTGGGAACACTGATGTGTTTGCTTCTGTTGGCAATCCAAGGTTCGAGAATACTGGTCAGAGCAGCCGGACCAAAAGTGGGTCCAAGAAAACGCTGCACAGCTGCATCTTGAGTATGTATGCATCGAACAAGTGTAGAATTCAGGACGATGTTGTAGCTTAGGTTTGGGATCCGGAGCAATGTGTTCCGCTGCGAATCTACGGCGATGGTGCCGAGTTCACGAGTAGCACAGTTGCAAACAAATTGGAATACTTTTTAGTCCTAAGACCGGCGGTATGTGCAATGCTGCCCGAAGCTAAGAAAAGCAGAAGTTCGAGATGTTCTTGTTATTGGCACCGCTGGCCGCGAATTCTTCGAGCACGACAAATGGCAGATTCTTGCAGCCCGGCAGAAACTGCCACAATCTATACATGTATAACATGAGCTAGTGGCGATATGCATTTTTGCATGCTGGCGACCCGCCTTGGACTGCAGGCTGTCATGCATCAACATGTGCTACCACAACGACGCCTCTCGCCGGAAAATTCTTGATGTGATCTGTTGGTCCATGAAGGCACTGAGCAGCTTTGGCAGCACTATATAAAGACAACGATATATGTCGGAAAGCATGTATGTCGCATGCAAAGAACATATAAACACATGTTCCGATGCAAGGTGATGGAGTATATCCATGGTCTGACCCATGGGGATGTGAGTTCTCCAACACGTACGAGCCTGCCCGATACCGTTGGGCAGGCCAACCATTGGCGAGCCATGGAGCGTACCTCGTGACGAGGAACGAGTTACGACTATGTGTGCTAGCTTACCTATTACTACTCGAAGCTATCGAAGGTAGCTTCGCTAGAAACGAAGTTTCGTTCGTTATCGTCGCTCGCAGGAGAGTTGCCTCTGACATGCGAAGACAGGATAGCAGTGACTTGGAATGGCTACGACGGTGTGTGACCGTGGCCATTCTGGATAAAGTCCCCCATCAGGGGGGGTAATTTTGAAGTACCCACCCTGCCCACCCTGGGGATAGATAGCCGAAGGCTATCAGTTCTCTCCAGGCAACCTGGGATAGTTGCCACTCCAGACAAAAGAACGTCCGTGCTAGCTGTGTTGCTTGTCCGTCTGGTCGTCGCTCGGCTAGCTCGCTAGCTATCTACTTTCGCACTACTATCGTCCTGGTGGAGATCCGGGGATGGTGGTGGGATATAGGAGCTAGTGCACATCATTTGGAGTGTTCGACGGCATACAGGCGGACCTCGAATTCATCAAGAAAATTTTGTTTCTGCAACGCAGCTCGATCGCATTTCCTTGTGGATCTATCGTACACATGTTACTGTATGCATACCGGCAAATCCAAGGTGATTATACGAGAAAACAATGTTGTTATCTCTGTGGTGCTTTACAATGGGTTTATCGCCATGGCGATCCCGATGGACTGCCTAATGATCCGAGCCTCCTCTACAGCAACTTCGGTGAGGAGGCAGCACATCGGCAGACGTTTCTCGCTACGATTTAGCATCCATTGCCACACCGATTGTGTGAAAGCCTAAACCCTAAATCCGAAACCCCATATATAAACCTGCAAAACC